GGTGGGTGCGGCGGTGGGTGGGGGGGTTCTGGTGGGTGGTGGGTGGGTGGGTGGTGGTGGGTGGGTTGTGGGGGTGGGTGGGGGTGGGTGGGTGGGTGGGTGGGTGGGTGGGTGGGTGGGTGGGTGGGTGGGTGGGTGGGTGGGTGGGTGGGTGGGTGGGTGGGTGGGTGGGTGGTAAACTTTCTCAGAACATTGGTATCCCTTCAAACCACAATTTAACCCACAACCACAATTTCAACCACCATTCATGTCACCATTTGTGCTGCAACCATTTTTATGCCACCATTTCCTCCACCGTTTAAAGGGTAGTTTCGTTCAATGAACACATCTCTGTTCGGTTATGGATCTTGCATGTTGGCCAAAATTGGGAAAGTCTAGGGGGCACCCTGGGCTTTTGGACCAGTCGACAGTTGGGTTCAGCTGTGGGTGGGACTTGGGAACTTGGGAATTTGGGATGACTGGAGATCCGGCAGCGTACGCATTCAAAGTTGCAGCTGCCGTGTTTTTCTCTTTTTCCTTCGTAACTGAGTTTTGTACATATCTACTAGTACCATGTTGGCTCCCTGTCCACAACAACTTCTAAGAGCGTCCGACTTCCTTTGACATAGAGAGAGAGAGAGAGAGACGGAGACAGACAGAGACAGTCAGAGACAGAGACAAAGACAAAGACTGAGACAGAGACAGAGGCAGAGACAGAGACAGCGAGAGAGAGAGAGAGAGAGAGAGAGACAGAGCAAGAGAGGCGAGCAAGCGAGCGAGCCATATGCGGCATTTCTGCTTGTGTCATTGACTACCCAGCCATCGCAGGTGTAAGCAATTTTCGGTTGGCTTGCTCCCCTCCAACGCAAAGAACCAAAACCAACAACAACCAAAACACCAAAACCAACAACGCCAAAACACAGAGCACGACCACAAACAACGCGTGGCCGGCTCGTTCGAGCCGCAGGCGGGTGGAGGGACCAACCACGGATGCCAACCTCCGCCGGGAGATCGCCCTGGAGAAGGCGAGCTGAGTAAATCAGCTGCCGACTTCAAGGTGTCGGGTTTTGTAGGGAATATGGATTTAGTTGTTTGTTTTCTTTTTCCGCGCCCCTTTTTTGGGGCGGCTTTTTAGAGGAAACCGAAGGGTTTGTTTTTGGGACATCTCTTCAAGTTGGTTCCCTTTTGTTTGCCTTTAAACCCAAAAGGTTTGGGTCAGTGGCGGCTGCGCGTACCATGCAGTTGACGCGTTTGTACATGATGGCTTGGCTGCGTGTTTCCACCAACGCGGGACGCCTGATAGGTTTCCTGTTGCTCTTCCTTCAGCGCTCTCAGGGGCAGCGTTCCCATATCATATTCCCACCTGGCGTGACCCCGGCGAGGTCAAGCGCATCGTCGTGGCCTCAGGTGCAGCCACTTCTGCGTGCCGGCCATCCTGTTCCTTGGAAAACTGAGTCCCAGTCGGATGCATTGTTTTGCGCACATTTCTAGAAACGCGGAAGGCCTTGCTCAGATGCGCAAAGGAATTTTCGGCTGACATGGCAACACGATCAGAATCATTTGGCAGTTCATTGAAGACAAGTTGGAAATCATTTCATGTCTTGACCCCCACATCGGTGCCATGCAACAGCAACTCTCGGCATGAAGCCCCAAGCACTTAGAGGAGCAATCACATGATACTGTGGGCAAGTTGGCAACACAACCAAGGCACCCTGAGAAGCCGAGTTTTGTGTTGTCCGACAGAGCCCTTGGCTGCTTCTCAACAATAATAGTAAAGACAAAGAGACTTTCACATGTCTGAGATTCGACTCGCTCTTGCACCTAGTCCATTCTGTGAAACGTGCGACTTTGTTGGCTCTTGTCAGCGCGCCGAATGCCCAACTGGGGGCAACATCTGGGGATCCCCAGGCTGCCCGCTTGTCACTGTTAAAAGGCTGGTTTTGCCCGACTGAGGCCACCCGCTGCGAGCTCAAAGAGGTGCCGCCTGTGGTCTCGAGCCGGTGCTCGGCCCAGTCGGCTTCATGCGGTAAGTGTGTGTGTGGTGTGTGTGTGTGTGAGTGTCTGTTTGTTTGAGGGTGCCCTTTGGTTGTTTGGAAGGGAACCGGGAGGAAGAAACACATCTTTTTTGGTCCCCCTATTTTGACTCACACCCATGTAGGGCCCCTTGCCCGGAGCATTTCGCTTTTCGAAACAAGCCTCGGGAAAGACTGCATTTCTGGTGGGCAGATAGCAAGAGATCTTGGCCGAAACTCGAATTCTCTGGGTCGATGCTTTTGTTGTCTGGCTGATGCGGGTGGGCGTGTTTTCTTTAGGGTGGGTCTTTTCAAGCAGTGCTGTATGGAAAGGAGTAGCTTGGCCGTGCCAAGGTCTTCGCCGGATCTCCACGCGAAGACGGTGCCGAACCTGGAGGCCAAGAATGCCAAGAATGCTTCTGTCCAGCACCCCAGGTTGGCTCATGCAGTCAGTTACCCCTCCCGATCTTCTGCCCAAGCAGCGCCAGCCCTTGTGTGAGAGCTGTGCGTGCCAGCAGAAATCTTTTGGGAACCCCTGTTAGAGGAAGCCCCGAGCCTGGGCTGCAACAAGGGGCTTACGTTTGGCAACCGGACATTTCGCTGGGCTGAGGTTGGCTTTCACCAAAATTCCATCGGAATCTTGTGGCACAAGGAGGACCGCTCTGACATGCAGGCATGGCTGATGTTTGTACGTTTCCTCCAACATTCCGGCAAGACTGTGACATCCTCGTTCCTCCGGGGTCCAGCATCACGGGTGCATCTGTTCGTTGAGGGCACCATTCTCGGGTTGGTTCACAGGAAGTCGAAGGAAAACCCACAACTTTCAGTTTTACTTGCTCGAACTGCAGGTGTTTCCCCCCATTTGGTCGTTTTTTCTCATTTGAAGACACCCCCAGGTCCCCCCAGGTCCCATCCGGCCCAAAACCGCGGTGGCTTCAAAGCGACGGCGAATTCGGAGGAGGAGGCCAACCAAGCGCCCGACTCCGTGCCCAAGCCAGAGAAGCCGTCCACCTGCTTTGAGGCACGAGAGATGTCGACGGGTCGCAGCTATGGCTGTTTTGGAGTTGGCACCTTTGCGGTTGTGAAGAAGGTTCATGGACACAGCCAACCAACCATAGCGGAATATTCGCCCTTCTCATTCTGCGATACGGCTGCTCCTGCTTGGAGTTCAATAGTTGATTGGAGAAACTTATCTGCACGGGGATGCTTTGCGGCGGGTTGAGGCCTGTGGTGACATGCGCTTTGTCCTTGGCAAAGTTGTCGGGGCCTCGGCGATGCGGTGGATCTTGTGCGGCTTGTGGTTGAACAATAACGGGACCCCGACAATGAGTCAAGTTTCCACACATGTTTTTCGGCGGCCCTGCATTACGTCATTTTCTTACCGGGGCAAAGGGCGAACGCCCGCGAAAATGAACTTTCCTTGAAGCCAAGGTCGACAAATTCCGCGCTGCAGTTGGGAATGGCGATCTAGGCCAAGCCCGGAGGGAGTGATGCACTTGCGCAAAAAATGGAGCCCTCGCTGGAATTGTGGTCCGTGGAACAAAGCACAAATTCGTGGGAATCGATCCACCCCTGGTTTCTGGAGGGTTCTGCTCGGAGGCATCGAGGATCCAGGTTTTCAAGATCCAGAGAATGCCGTCATCATCTTCGACTGGGACGACACACTTTTGCCGACCACGTGCGCCCAAGTTCTCGAGTGGCGCGGGCGCGGGCGCGCAGGGTAAGGCTTTTGGGATTGCAAAGGCCCATGCTTCAATTCACCCAGGAGCTTGACCTTGTGCTCCCATTTGCTTCCTCCTCTGCAGCTTCGCATCCTCGGCATTCTCTGCATCCGCTGCATCTCCTCAATTCCTTACAGATGGTAAATCAGCATGCCTCTATTTGCTGAATCACCTGCGTCTTTTGCATCATCTGCATCCTCCAACATCTCCTAGGTCCCTTCCCAAAGAATCCATGCGTTGAAAGCATTCTCTGCTTCCCAAGCATTGCCTCCAAGCCCCTAGACTCCTCCATTGCCAACTGTATTGGGTATCTTCAGTTTTTTGTTTTCCGTGGGACAGAATAATTGGGCATTGAGTGCACGCTCATTGCGATTCAAGAGCGAGTCGGCTGGTTGGTGTATCAAGTTGGCGTTGATGCAAAGTGCATGTTTTGCAAACTGGTAGCCATTGAGGGAATGAGGAGATCATTGATGTTGGAACAGCATTCGTATTCATTGCACTCCAGGGAGTGACGACCCTACCCTGGCCTGAAGACAAGGGGCTTCCAGGTACATTCTGGGGACAGTCATCCCTTCTCTGGCGGAGGAAGATCGTGCCGGGGCTTTGCCCGAGCACTCGCCTTACCAGGCCCCGCGCTGCGGTCTTTTGGTTCGTTCTGTTCAAATGAATCTGATTCAAACGTAGCAGATTGGTGCATCGGGGAGTTCGCCATGGCTCCTTTGGCGCGTGGATGGGAGAAACCCAAAGCGTGAATCCCAGAGACTAAGCTGCGAACTTGGCAGCCTCATTCGCATGCTTGCTCCAGACCTGCCCCCCAAATAATAAGTGTCCTTGTATCACCATCGCGCTTTGTACAACTCGCTGGGAGAGTGGCGGTTCCCCACAAATTTCCAAGCCTCAGGCTGCCCCCCCCCAAGGCCTTTCGGACACCGGGCTCCCATGTTGGGTCCTACCCAGGATGAACTCCCACCTGCAGTTGAATAGGGGAGCGTTTTCCATGTCTGAAAGAATCACATTTTTTTGGGGGAACCCTCAAAAACTCTAGGCTTACTGTGGGCTAAGAAAGTCTCTTGTGTGATTTGGGGTAGACTCTCCTTGCTGACCCTTATGAACCATCCAACTACTGTAGTGGTTTCGTTTTTTTTTTGGGACCAAAGCCTGGGTTCCTTCCATTGCTCATTCCCTGTCACACCAGCAAGCGATTTCCTCATTCCAAGTGGGAGTCCCCTTAGCCAACGCAGCGTCGTCAGGAGCTCTTGGCCGCCCACGCGCACCTC